CCTAAGTATTTAGCCCCATAATCAGTTGAGAAAAGAACAGTTCTCCAAAATATTTACCCTCAGTTTTGGATGTGGACCAAGGAGATTTATTAGTAAGCATCTTTTAACAATAGGACTTAACTTCTGAAAATACCCAAAGCCTCCAATGTTCTTTCCCTCCTTTATTATTGATTAGGTATTTGTAGTCAATATTTTGTTTCCGGGACCTGGACAACTTGCTGGATCAGCCAAAGTCACACTTCACCTCAGGCTATGAAAAGCTTGAATGAAAGGAACATTAAAGTAGCAAGAGTTTCCACTATGCTGAGCTGTAACTAGGTCTTTCAGCTCTTCTAGCATTTCTGTTCCAGGACAACTATTTCCTTCCGGTTTCCTTCCACAAATTGAATATCCTTGCCAAATTGCTTAAAGGGAGTTTCAAACATCTGGAAAACAGCATGAGGAGATTGCAGTTTCACCTTATTTCTTTCCTGTAGACTAGACATTTTCTTATTTAGTTCTGAGATTAGTGGATTAGAATGTTAGAGCTATATTAAGAATGCACTGCAGCTGTCTCTCAATTTCTCCCTTGCACTTACAGGAGAAAGTTGATACTACGAGTACCTACTAATGTTAGGTGTAGATTGCAGAGCATTCAACAAGGGGAGAGAAAAGAGATATGGAATAAGATTAACACCTACTAATGGATCTACATTGACACATCTCAGATACTAACAATGTTAACTCAATTATAAAGCCATTGATTATTACTTCAGACAATATCCAATTTATAGATTATTACTGAAAATTTGCACTTAGAAAAACTGAGAAGCTTGTTGGCATCTCTAAGAAAATGGAAAGAGTCATCCAACTCAGTGACACTAATATTACTGGTAGCCTTAAGACCAATCCATTATTTATAAGAAAGCTTATGTGCTGAACTACATTTTAGGTACAATATTAGTTTCAAATGCACAGGATTCAATGACTAGCAAACAAATTTGTTTGCTTCTTAAGTCACTCTGTAATCCTTGAAGTTAAGATGACCACAATGTTTCCATTCTAGGACATCTTTTTAGTCCTTCAAATGCTATTCCAAGAAGACTTCAAGTTCAGAAGGATCCTTCTGTAGAAAATGCTTTAAATTAAAAACAACTTGTCATTACTTTATTTACCTCTCCCGACTTAAGATGTCTATAAGAGATCACTCTTCCTTCTCTTCCACATTCTTTAATAAACTATCCTACAATGTTGCTAGTATTTCAGAAATTCACAGAACATTTGTCTCTGGCATGTGCTGCTGCTGCTTCTCTACCATCCAACAAACTTACTTTAACAATAGGTTGCCAGTCTTTCAAATGCTTAAAAATCTGGGACACCTTGAGAAGAAACACTGGCTGTGGCTTGGGCTGAATATCCAGAGATCTACACAGCTGGAAAACTGAGGAGCCTGGTTAACTCTGAATCTATTCTTCCATCTGCAAAAACCCCCAAACCAATATGCATTTATTAAAACTCACTAAGAATGAGAATTAAGTCTGACTATCCCTCTGTAAAACTCTTAGAAACATGGTCAATATTTACCCATAGATGTCTGACCATAACATTGTTAAAGAAAACTTTCTTGAAAGGTTTTCTTCATCTAGAAAAGGTTGTTGGCGTATCTGCTCCTCTTGTTTGATATAAAGGCTTTAATATTAAAGTAACTACTTGGAATACCAAAATTCTTTCATACTTCTAAACTATAAGGAAAATCATTATTATTTCAAGTTACTTTTAATACGGATATAAAACATGCAGACTTAACTAGTTAAGCTTAAGTCAATAGCAAAAATTATTTAATAACTAAGCAAATTCAATTGCGATCTATAGAACAGTATACTGGGCAAATTACTTAATTGATATAGACACATGCTGAAATCACTCTGCATACGGAACACTCGCCTTCAGCATCAGAAAACAAACATTTCTGCACTTTCATTCTTTACCTACAGGATTAGTAAGTATAATTTTAGGCAGATGCAAAATAGCAAATAAAATAGTCATGAAATATATTTTTTTAGACAGCTGGATACATTAGCTATCTTCAGGAGATACTTCCTTAACCCATTTCTGATACTGTGATTTTTATCCATCTCTGGCCAGTTTCCTGCAAGGAGATATCTACATTCGCTTCAGACTATGGAAAATTTATTTCAACCAAGTACAGAAAAAAAAAAGATAATTTAAAAAAATGGGATGGAGTAGAGGGACAGTAAAGTCACGTGCAAGATGTGGATGCATCTTCTCTGAACAAAGGATTATCAGTGTTATGGCACCAGTGCAGTTATTCAGTATGCTGTATTCTACTGTATCTATATCCATACAGAAACTTACCAAAAATTTTTTGCTTGGAACTGATGGCTTTCTATGCAAGCAATAATAGTCTGCTGTCCATCAATTGTTTTACCATACACCTGAATTAGAAATGAAAAACAAAGAGTTAAAGTTTCAGTATCTGTCTTGCTCAAACTGCTTAGAAATACTTAGTTCTATTACTATTACATAAGCTGTAAAATTTGCTTTTAAAACCACTATGGTTCTTACATAATATTCAGTACATGAAACATTAAAGTGCAGATTACAATGCAGAAAAAATTAAGATCAGAAAATATGATGGTTAAGCATCTTAACTGTAATTTTATATTCTGCAAATTCATTCTTCTGCAACTAGAGGAATTTCAAGCCTATTGCAGTAACTGCCGTGACTATATATATTACCAGGTGTGTTTCAGATACCAGTTACTCTACAACTAAGTTATGATTTAAGCCTTTACAGAGTAGCGAAAAGGTGATTAAAAGGATGGTTTTGGTCCTCTGTCCAAAAAAACTAAACTAAACTAAACTAAACTGAACTAAAAATTATCTCAATGAACATGCAATTTTGTTTCCTTTACAGAAGCTGAAACTGATCTGACTGTCTGGGAATCCAATTCAACTTGTTAACTCAGCAATTGATCTTTATTTTTTTATCTAGCTAATTTTTCCTTCGGGTTAATACAAAGCACAGGACATCTATCATTAGATTAGTCTGCTGAATTTTAAATAGTCATAGGGCTCCTAACAGGAAACGAATGCTATTTTGGTCCAGGTTTTATTTTAAGAAGCCACCAGAACTCACGAGAATCTGATGGTAAGTACATACAGCACTCTCATATACAGGAGATGTGATGGAGAGAAAACAGTTTGCTTTACTGATGTTTTTGTCAGTGAACTGAATCAAAACAACACAGACATTTGTATCTCATGGATTATTATTTTTTTTAAGTAACCATCCAGGTAGCCAGGATCAAGGGGATCAACCTGCAGTAATCTAAGGAAAGTCTTAATGTAAGAAATTTAAATAAAAATTCTTCAGAACTGAGACTAAGTCATCACTATGACCTACAGTAATCACCCACTTGCAATCCAATAACTGAAATATTAAACTCTTGAAGCTTTCCCTCATTTCTCTGTATGAACCCTTAACAGCTGAAACCACCTATTTTCCTGCTTTATGAAAAGTTACACTTCTATTTTAGATTTTAATCTCTAGTAGTACCATGGTTATATAATGTAGTACTTACTGTGCAGACACCATTTGGGTAGTGTTCTTTCACATATGCTTTCATTGCTGTTTCAACTGAATTTCTCCAGGATTCTATGGCATTTTCAACTTCGTGGGGTCTAGGATCAGTAGCCTCCTTTCTTAAGTGATCAAATTTAAAAGAAATCTTGTTCTTGGGATCCAAAAATTTTCCATTTCCCAAATCACCATGTTCCGTTATCAAAACCTGTATTACAATATTTTAGTTAACAACATTTGCTATTGAATAAGGAGACAAAAAAATACCATGCCAAATCTAATTACATCCTATGTTTAACTGGAGCTTGCTCATATCCAAAGACTCACATTTTGAGCAAGACATACAGATAGCAAGAGAGGATGAGTCTAACAGGACACACTGACACAGGAAAAAGCCCTGAATCTTACCCTCTTACTGCAACAAACAATACAATATAGAAATTTGTCTTCTAATACTAAAGATGGAGCAAATTGCTCTCCAGCTGCAAATCAGGTCTGACTGTATTTGGGACAACACAAAAAAATTTCAAGCTCTTTAGATGCCATAAATGATTAGCTTACAGAACTAGTACTATTGAAGGGCCATAATCTCTGTATTTGGCAGGAAAGATGCATTTATTCTCATTTTCTTGTCAATGTATGTTCCAATACTAGAACTTATTTAGCAGTTTAATGAACACTGCAAGTATTTATTTGTATTCATACCTGTTCATCATAACCGTCAATTTTTACTGGAGTAAACTGGTCCAAGTTGTACTGTGCAAATGCACTACAAGAGAAAAAAAAGCCTGCATCAAGCACAATCTTTCTCCTATAAGAGATTTCATACCAACTAATAATTTGAGCAATGTGCATCAGGAAACTGTATCAAATTGTATCTAGCAAGCCCAAATTATTGGAATCACCTTGGTTCACTCTGTGTTGGCATTACAGATTCCAACCACCATTACACAATGATTTATGTTCAAAAGTTACCTGATACAGACAAACACATAAGCTTTATGGTAACCCATAGAAATTGGAGGAACAGATAAAGTTTAAATTCCTCAAGGATCCAACTTACTAAGCCAGACAACTTCATTCTTACAGATTTTGGCATAAATATCTCTTTAAATGAATCATTTATTGACAGTGAAAGTCTTACTGAAAACACCTTGCTTTTAGGCAACTAAGTATGTGTGGCATCTGGTACTTACTGGGCTGCTCCTTCCCTGAGAAGATTGTCATTATTAAGCAGCAACCGAACATCTGAAACAACATAAAAGTACAGTTAACGCAGAAACTTGTTTCAGTCACATAATCTGTCAACAGACTGTAAAAAACAAAGAACCCAAAACACCTCACCCCCACGCAGATTACTAGGTAGAAAATTTATTGCTTCACATTTCATAATATGGCTGAATAAAATGAGAAGAGTAGCCTGGAAATGGATTTCTTCCAAAGCAATCTGGTAAGCAGATATAAGCTATATTCTACAGGCAGTGTGACAGCTCTAGGAATCTGTCAAAGTAGTTTTTAGAGAAGTTCCGAGTAAAAACAGCATAGGATTCAAACAAGTTCACTTTTAAGATGTAAACTACCAAACCCCTCACACTGTATTGATGGTAGTGGTTTGTGTATTTTGATGACACTTACATATATATATACATATATATATATAGTAGGTGTCGTACTTGTTCATTTAAGCCTTATAACTTTTGTTCTTGTTTCTTAATGACCCACAGTAGTTAGAGCACAATATATCACAAAACCATTTCTTCTACCATCATAAAAGAAACATGAGTGTAAAGTAAATACCCTCCTCAGATTGACTTTATTTTTACTATGCAGTAATTTTTTTTGTATGTACTTGACTGCCTGCCTTATTATTTACTAGGCAGTATTGTAATAATAATTTAATGCACTGATCATTAATTAACATTAGTCTCATAACTTTTTTAAGTCTTCTCAAGATTCCCAAGATATGATGCAACTGAAAAAAAATTCCAGAATTTGAAGTATTTTTTCTTTTAAAAAAACATACTGAAACACCAAACAACAAAACACCCCAAATGGAAAAAAACCCAAACAACAAAGCCCATGAAAAACAAATTTACAAACCCGAAAAAACCCTAAGTCAAACCAACCAACCAAAAAAAAAAAAAATCACACTTTACAGAATTTGAATTCAAACATTTCACTCTCTTTTTTTAAGAAGCCAATCTGAATCTCCTTGAACACTGGTTATGCATTTATGATCAATTGTTTTATTATGCATTCTGAACGTATTATACACTTTTATTGACCAGGCGGCTGCAACTATGAACTTGCTTAACACTAATGTTTATAGCAGTACTGCTATAAGAAATTTCATTAACCTTTGGGAGTTGGGTTAATGAGCTGGCTCACCTATAGGTCATTTCACAAATGCAGTACAACCTAAGTTTAAATAATAATTAGCTGGTCACAATTTAACTGAAAAACAAGGTACTTCTAAAAAACATTATGTATTTAAACAAAGTTAAGCTGTCTCCAACCTGACACTGATAAAGGTTAGTACACTCAAACTATTTCTTTACTTAAATGGCACCAGAGCTATTTGTAAGCTACAGCTACAAAATGTATGCCCTCTTACATATGTATGCCCACCTACCTTGATGCAGGACTCACACAACAATTTTTTAAGACAAGTAACACCTCAGGTTAAAGTTCAGGCAACAATAGTCGAGAGAAGCTAATTTCAAGCTTCCTTTCAACTTATCAATACACTCTGTAAAATTAACTGTTCCCAGAATTTAAAGGTTAAAAAACGTTTAGAGAAGATTAATATTCTTTTCACAACTAGCATTAAGAATTCGTCCTTTGCATATTCAAGGTTAAGTATTTGTATGAATGTTCCTTCTTTAAAAAACAAAAAGACAAACAAAAATCCCCCAAACATTTTAATTATAGCTGGTTTAATTTCTGTTGAAAAATTTAATTGTCTATCAAAGACAAAAATAAAAAAAAAAGAGTACTGTGTCTTCTAAACAAAACCCCTAGCAACTGTTAAGTCATGACTGATTAAAAACAGAAAGAAAACTCATTCTCACATTACAAAGAAAAGTGGCACTTTCCTCCTTTTGCATTTATACTCCAAGCTGTCTTGTGACTGCAAAGTTTATTATGCCAAGCTACAAAACCAGCTCTTGCAGCAAGTTGCTAAAATATAAACTACATGAAATTCAGGAGAGTAATTGGCCATACAACTGTGAACATAGATGCCTTAAATGAAAGGGCAGAGTAGACAGATACTCACCGTTGAACACCTCATTGAATTCTCCAGGAGGAGCATGAATTATGAATTTTGCTGCTATACGCACCTGAAATACAAAAACAATTACGTGGTTGTATACATTTGTAGTAATTCCTATTCAAACCAAATATGCATTGTTTAGCTTTAATACCCAGACATAAAACTGTACAACTCCCACTCCTTCATATATTTGCTCACATTATTTTAACTACTCTGACTTTGTTAGAAACACAGAATATGAAGTTCCACCTCTTCAAACAGAATAGAGGAGATTATATGCAATGGAAGCAGACAAAGAAATGGAGTCACTCATGTTTTGTGTTACTGGCAAAAGGAAAAAGATTAATATAACATATCAGATCTATTTCAGTCTTCAGTCCCTGGATGCCTAGGACTCAATACACATTCCAAGAGAGCCAAAACCCACGATGAAGATATATTCAACCTTCAAAGCTTCTTCTCTAATTTTATTACGCATCCTATAGTTCTAAACCTCCCAAAAGGCCCACAGCTAGACAGTAATTGATAGATTACATAAAACTGAAAACATTTGCGCAGACACTAAAGCATGTAATTTCACCTGCATCTACTTGTAATGCCTCTTCATTCCACAGTATAAGCAGATAAAGTTTGGAAAAACACCCTGAGAACTTATTTCATAGAAATCCACGAGCAACTGACTTCGCTCTCGACTTCTTGCAGACAAAATACAGCGTAAGTCAGTGCTTCCACTGAAAGTACAAGCACCTGCCCTGGTTTTCTCCCTCCTGCCTGCACAAGCACTTGTACAACTGCCCAGTGAGCAAAATCATTTTGGTTTTTTTTGATGTCACTATTCAAATACAGGATACCACATGAACCATACTTTACATTTCTAACACCTTCAGTTATGTTACTATGGGATAAAGGGCTGGGAGATTTTGTGTCTGCACTCTCTGGGCTTCCAGTTTGAAATTAAGATGCTTCAGAAACACATGCTTCATGAACAAATACCTGAAAATTAGCAAAGAATACTTTACATTTACATACGTATATACACTTGAAACTACAAAAGAATTCTCTGAGCATGCTAGAGCTCCTGAACAGACTTGTAAATAGCTTTTGTAGTCAAGGGTAGCAATATAGCCAGTGCTTAGGACACAGGTTCTTGACAGGGCCCAAGTTTCAGACCAGTTTCCAGGAGAGATGGCTCAGGCTCAGAGTGCCCCAGAGAGTTCTTAGCTGCCTCATTAGCAGCGTTCAAACTTCAGTGAGACCACAAATGACTAGCCTAGGCAGCTTTCTGCTCACTAACAGTGCGCAGTCACTCAGAGCTAGCTCATGGAAAGGCTGTCAGTTCCCAACTTTCTAAATTGAACGCTACATTTTGGATTTCAGACAGTTTTTCCCTGCTGCCTCCAATCAGAACTCCTCTTTCCATGTAATCATAAATTTGCATTATACTGAGGTAAAATACCACAGGGTTTACTCTTCTCAAAAGAGACAGAGTGGCAAGAACATATTCTCCTATGGCTCTTATTAAAGCACTGGCCCAGGTAAGAAGAAAGTTAACTTGGATTGCCTCCTTTGACCCAAAGGAATGTAAACTTATCTGCATTAGCCAGACTACCCCAACCACCAGTCTGAACACTTTTTTGGATTAAGGAGATGCTCCATACCTCTTCTGCTAAAGTCAGAGCACTGTGTACACAGGTCTCCAAAGGACACAAAAATAGCTAACCTACAATACTATTAAACCACTCATGGAGGAGAAGGGCAAGACAGGCTCCAAGGCTGTATTACCCAGACATTTTATTGAATGAGCAATTAACAGTGTCTTGGATCAGACTTGAATCTAGGCCTCATACCTAAAGGCAGGTATTTAGCTGTGCTTTCAGCATGACTATCAGGCTGACTACCCACTCAAAGTTAGACAACAGGATATTGTTTCTTGGTTTCGACTTGACTTCAGGATGTGAACAGGACTGCTTACCCCTGCCAAGGCCAGGTTAGCTCTGGGAAAGCAGAGGAACAAGACTAAGACACATTTTTGAGTTCTGAAATAAACAGCCCATCAGTTTTAGGCTGGGCAGTGGCTAGATGATCAAAATTTAGCAAAACTTGAGTGCCCAAACTGTACTCTAAATGACCATGTACTAGTAATATATGTAAGGTGAGATATTAAGTCTGTACTAAAACTGGAGTAAAACCTCATTTTTAGCTGTATTGGTAATATAAAATTGTTTTTTCTTTCTACATTCCCAGTAACAATTACTCATAGCTATAGTATGAGCAATATCAATTGAGAAGTATTCAACAATAACAAATGTTTCTTTAGCACAGATCAACTTACTTTTAATGAATATTTTGCTAGTAAATTCACTTACTCAAAGATTTTTTCAGGTGATTATTCATCACAGATGCCCCTTTTATAGGACAGATAAAAGCAATCATGTAAATTTGCAATGACATTTCATCAAGAAGTATAAAGTATATTCATGCTTATGGAAGGAAAAATCTCACATGTCTTATAAAATTGACTGTCAGTTTAAGACACACTGCATTTTGTTAACCTACCTTTGTGAAGTCCATTTAAAACTAGTCCACTTTTCTTCAGCCGTTAAACCAAATTAACTTATGTGTGGAGATGAGTATCTGAAAAAGCCATATTTGCCCAACTCATACGTACTAGAAGCCTATACAAAAGATAAAATCCAGTAGTCTCACTTATTACATAACTAACTGAAAAGGCTTTAAGGCTTCTTTCTTGCCATTGAGTTTTTCCAGAAATAAATGGTCTACTAGAAATTTCTGTTTTCCAAAACCAGACTGATACTGAAGGATAAAACAATACACTTTCATAAGCCTCAATGAGATTAAGATCTCCCCCTTTTGGCAGTAAAAGCCACGGGTTCAGTTACCCTTTGAGGAAACAATTTTAAAAAAGGACACTCCATAAAAAATGTGGTGTTTATGGGTAAACTAAAAAAAAAATGCACATACAGAAAGAGCCACATTACTTGTAATACAAAGTAATACTGCAATATAGTCCAAGTAAGCTAGGAAGTTATTTTTTCTGAAAACTGTTTAATAAAACACTTCAATCAGATACACTATAGTTGAAACTAATACTGGTTACTCAATACATAGAGACTTAAAAAAATTGATAAGCACTGATTTGAACAAGTCAAACTAGAAACAATGTAACATTTTAGAAGTCTAAATAACAAAGCTTTTTCCATTCAAGACAACTACACCTTCATACACAGTATAAAAACCTTATACATGTATCAGCAAATTAGGTTACAGTTCAGTATTTCTTTAGAAAACTCAAAAAACAAGACTAAGAAAACACCTGAAGTTTCTCCACTTACTACACTTAAAACACCACCTGAATTTTAAGACAGTGTTTTATGAATGTAGTTTCCAAGATCAGCTTTACAGTCACTGTTTTCAGTGACATGTCTGCAGAGCAGCATGCAAGAAAACACCTCCTTTATTTCACAATCTGATTTCTCTCAAGTTATTAGATACACAGAAAAATCCTTATTCTCTACCTTTTTCAGTTTGAGACATTCATAGCTTTGTTTTATTTTAAAGAAGTTATACATAGTGACTTCAAATGTCCCCAAACTACTCTTCCTGTTTCTGGCACATCGGAACTGACACTGCTTGAAAAAGCCCGACCTTCAGTGCTGTGTGTGCCTATATATGGTCATGAATCCAGAGCTCGAAGAAGTGCAGGGGCTCCCCACGCCACCGACAGCTCTGCTAAAATATGCTCATTCCTGATAATCAACTAGAGTACACCTAACGATAACTGAGATGTTAAAATTTACATTAGCTTTTCTCTCCCCCCCTCCTACCCTTCTTTCTTTCCCTCTTCCTAACTTAACTGAAATACAGTTGTATTTGCCAGGCACTATTGACAGCTCAGTCCTTCAATCAACAGCCACGCTGTGCCGGAAAAATGTGCTGGTAAGCAAGATGCTGTGAAACCACACACTTTGCCCTTACTCTTTCCTACACATCCCTTATATCAAGTTCAGTTGCGAACTCCTTGCAGCAGACAGACCCACCCTTCCTCTACACTCATAAAAGGTTAAAGTTTACTGTTCCAGAGCAATAAAAATGAAATAATGAAGTACATACTAAAAGTCCTTCTCAAGTGAAAACTGCATTAAAAACTAAAGGGGGTGGGGAGAAAAAGGTAACATAAGACCTCTACAATACATCCACTCAATGACAACTTCTTTGTCAATCACAGGGAAAAAAAACCCGTAAAAGAGCTTGCAACACTTTTATCAGTGATTATAAGACGTTTTATAGCAGGAGAAAGACATCATATATCATGCATTTATATTCTGGATTTCTGCAAGCACCCTTGCTTCCTTACAAAACAAAACAAATCTTCCACTTACAGGAACTTACATTTGGCAAAAAGTAGATGAGAGACCACATGTAGGAGAAGGGAGCTCTTTGGTTCTGCTTTAGGAACAGTAAAGAGTCCAGAGAGCCCTGTTTCCAGAATCAGGCCTTCTGCTGTAGTTCTGGTTGGTTCAGGGAGGCTTTCTGCAGCACTAAATAAATGGCTTGGTCTTGATCCCCTTAACTTTATTTACAGGTAGCTACAGAATGTCTCACAATTAGCTTGCAGTTACAGAAATAATGACACGTATAAGCTGATTCAGACTAGGTAAGCTCCAAATCTCTCAAGACCCTGTAACTTACACACATAATAATACTAGGATCCTGCTTGTTCCTTCTGGAGTAATATTGGACGAATAACTAGTTTTATTGGGTTCTGAGTTTGATTAAAACTTTGAGTCCAGCTGAGCCATTATTTTTCAATATGCAGCTCTCCTTTCCAATGAACAAAAGTGCTACGACACCTTTTATCAGTCAAAATTACTTTGCATTGATACATGTAGTGCACCAAGCAACACAGTCTAAGGTTCTCATTTGCAAGACACAATGTCTAAGGACAGTACTGCAAACACCAACATACGTTCTTTAAAAGGGTTTGCAAACTCAAAAACTAACTGGCTTCTCCTTTTGCCAGGTAGATACTTTGTATTACTGGCTCTAATTGCTCATTAAATTCTTAGCTTAGATACCCCCCAGGATGTTATACCAGCAATTACAATACATGTTTTAAAATTCATAAAAAGCTGCAGCTGTTTCTAAAGTGGCATAAACTGACCTAATACTGTGCTTCTGCCACCGCAAAAAGGACTAACCTTCCTGCCTTCTCCCAGATAAGCCCCACGATCCATTTTTACAAACTTATTTGAAGCACCAGTGTTCATTCATTTTTGTGAGCATCCAGAGAAGTACATTGATCTAGCTAAAGAAAAGTTTAAAAAACAATCAATTTCTTAAGAGAGTTTAAAATAACTTTTGCTTCTTGCCTCTTAAGAGTTTAGTGAGGCGAATAAGCCTTCAAATGGCCAGGAAAGCACTGAAAACATGTATGTGAGAAAGCAATTACTCCATGTTGGCAGCAAACTTTCTTCTCAGCTTCTCACAGAACCTCACCCATACCCATGCATGTAATTTCAGGTAGTGAAGAAGCATCCTGAAACATGGGGCATCTCACACAGACATAGAACACAGGCAGTGTGACTCTAGTAGAGAGGGAAGGAATATAAAAAGTAGCATTGCAACTCTTTTCCTGCCAAGCTCAACTGAAAAATGCACTGTAGTATTGAATTCACTTTTGCTTCTGGGAGAGCTGAGGAAGAAAACACTGCAGAAATGAGGTTCTGTGGCACAGGAAAGGAGGGGCACATTCCATGCCTATGGCTTTGACTGAACAGACATTTCCTTCATAGTAATGCCTGAAGCTGCATTGCATCTGTCTGAAGCGGCATTGCATCTGTAGCACGTGTGTTTTCCTCAATTATTTTAAATACGTAATTATTTAAGATTATGTAACAGTACCAGCACTTAAAAGTGGTGCAAAAAGTAAACCTTACACAGCATAAGGTATTCTAGCTCCATTCTTTCTACCCAAGGAAGTGACTCAAATAATGAGATTTATTTTCACAAAAAAACAATTTTGAAAGGTGCTGATTGTTTCACTGTAGGCCCTTTCTGCAACAGTGTATCTAAATATTATAAAAGTATCCGGATTAAAAATCACTTTCCACACCACATCATATTAAGACAAAGGATTTAAAAAAACAAACCCAAAACAGGACTTCTAAAAGTCATTGTTCCAAGTCAGATAGCAAAGAGGAATACAAATACCATGTATGTTACTTGGATACTAAACAAATCTACCTAGGGGGAAAAAAAAAGCTAGATAAATTTCCCTCATGTAGTTTTGCAGTTACTTGAATTACCTCTAACTGTACCTAATTGGACATCTTTTTATGTCACACACTTCCTATATTTTAATTCAGAAAGATAGCAAAAACCTGTACTGGTTTCAAATTAGCAAAGCAAGTATGTTTTGTTTGTAGACATTAAAGGATCAAGACCAACCTGAAACTTCAGCTTCAGCTAACGCCATCGACTACTAAAAAGCTCTGGATTAAAAAAAAATTGCTGTAGTTGTAATACACATATGTATTTCTCCAAAAGTCTATGTCTTCTCAGGAGTTGGCTTGAAAACAAGCCAAGAAAACCACACACACGCAAAAGTAATTCTAAAGTGCTTCACATCCCAATTTGCCATACAGAACATTCTAACTGCAGCATCTTTACTGCAAGTTTTTTGTCTTTAATGTAGTAGTTCTTTTCTAGATGTACATAAGATCTTGTGATATGAGCAACCAGGAAAAAAAAAGAAAAAGAAAAAAGGTTAAGAACATCTCAGGTTAACAACTTAGACAAAAGTTGCTTTCAGTAACTTTCAAAGGGCTTTGAGAATGAAAGCAAAAAAAAAGAAAGACCAGAAAAAAAAATAATTAATAGGTGTGTTCAATAAAGCACCATTAAGTTTCAGTCTCAAAAGATTACACATTGGGTGCCTTAAAATGTCAGTATCTGAAACTATGTAATTCTTTGGTACTTCCTAGTTCTTTCTAGTCAAGCCCCAACATACATAATCAACTCAAGAAACAAAATACTGTTTTGAGGAGCACGCTAAAGGCTAGTACTCCCTCTGCTAAACAAGTATCTCATACAATTTGACAAAGGTCTAATGCAGTCATTGGTCTGATGTAACTTTTTGAGTAAATCTTACTCATAAAACCTTTAGAAGCTGAAAAATTCCTTACTTTGCTTATGAATCAGATACACAACAAACAATAAGCATGAAAATATCTCAGAATTTCCTTGCAAAATTCATTCATTGAAAACTGAAAAAATAGTACAATTTTACATTCAGTGAAAAGCAAAATCACCAACTTTTGTTGGAGAAGTAAAAAGTATAAGAAATTACTAAGACTTCCCAAAGGAAAAAAAATATGGCATTATCTCCCACATACAGAAGCAAGATGTTCTGTCAGCCCAATACAAGTGCTGCTCCTCAGCTGCAGCAACTAGACCCCTTCTTCTCAGCTATTACAGAGTGGTAAATCCTATAACCTAAAAAGCACTTTGTTCATATTTGCACAGCATTCTTCCACTACAAAGCCTAGATTTTTTAAGTGATCCTTTCTACTACTCCAAGTTCATTATTTATAATTAGTTACTCCAAGGACATCAAGCCTGGATTCAATAACAGTAGGGAGAGAAAAGGAAAAAGATTAGAGCTTGCTATAGAAAAAATGTCTTTATTAAAAGTCACAGAGTAAGGTGTCACCTTAACTGTACATTCTCCCTCACAATTCCAGTATCTCAGGATCTTGAAATTCTCTCTCAAAGTTACCTCTTAGTTTGAAAGTATTCAAAATATTTTGCATTTCAGCTTTTAACTCAAGGATAAAAAAGAGAGTAATCTGCTTTCATTTCTGCCTGAGCAGTTCAAACTTCTTCACACCCTACTTTCAGAAACTATTATACAGTGCTGCCCAAGAAAAACCCACTGATTCACTAAATAATGTAGCTAAAATACTTCTCCTCCTTTCCGGCTGCCAAAATTGAAACGAACCAAAGATGGTATTTCACAGCAGAACTGTAGGTTGATCTCAGTGTTCATGGGAAAAAGAACCTTACCTGTTATATCACAAATTACTCTAGGTTCATTACTGGATCTGCCAATAATCTGTTCTATTACTCTTCTCTATTTTTGGTTCAATTTGTTTCTCTTACCTACTTAAACTATGAGGTTTCCTGGGTAGCAAAATTCCACAAGAGTTCTGTGAGCACAAAGGCAGCAAGAACAGGGCTTCTGATGCTCCTGAGGTGTCACTGCATTATAAATACTCCTTGACACGATAAAAGTCATAATCCACAGAAAATACCTAACTATTCAAACTACTAATAACAAAATATGAACTGCAGTTTTGGAAATCACTGATCTTATATTTAGAATAACATGTTTAATTTATATTCATGCTTGAGGTTCAGATAATTATTTTTTAACTTATCAGAAATCCAGACTGTTTTGCTTTGCATAATAGTTTTCTATGGAGGTGCACAGTGAAAGACATGCAGCATTGGACACAAGTTGCAAAAATAGAATATTAGGAAAAATTTCTGGCCATGGGTGAGGTCAAACATTATAACACATCACCCAGAGAGGCTGTGCAGCCTACATCCTTGGACACAGCCAAAACTCAAAGTGCAAGTTCCTAAGCAACCTGATCTATATTGGCTCACTTTGACCAAGAAGCATTTGAGTTACCTCCAAAAGTTTCTTCCAGCCTGCGTGACCCTACAAATAAATTATTATTTGCAGTTATACATACAGCATATAATATTTTTTTCAGACAGTGTTGATAACTTCTGTTATTTCATAACAAAGTTATTACAATTTATGTTCTGTCCTTCAAACTCAAGGGTATTGATACCCTTTAAAAAAATGAGTCCCTAACTCAAGACAATAGACTGTGGTATCTTAATCTTGGAAGGACAACTATATAGAATTCCATGCCAGTCTGAGATGTACTAAGAAATTCCTCCTTCTTATTAAAGAATTCATGCAAAGTGTTACCAAAGTGTAACTGTTGAGTAACCTTGCCTTTGTAAAAACAATTCCTACCACACAACTTCTGCCACATTTCACTTGTGGAAAAATGCTGACTTTTACAGCTTAAATAATTTAGTAAATTAAACAGAAGATATGCTTAAACAGTAACCAAATTATTTCACATTTAAGTACTAAAGATTTTTCAACCTTTCATTGGAGACTGCTACATAATTTCCAGTTTCGTTCAGCATTTAAATACAAATAAGAACCAGAGAGCTCACAAGGCCCTCCTGCTAGACACACTAGCAAAGCTGCACTTTTAAATATAAAACAAAGCATATGTTGATAAAGTACTAAGAAAGAACATTAAGAACACTTGCAAAACTTTACCTTAAGTTTACCTTATAGATTACAGTGCAATTATACCCCAAAAAGTCTATTCAAACCCTATGTCTACTCCAACAAATTATGGTTCTAATAATCTATTAACTCCAATTCCCATTCTGGGCAATTCTTAAAGTCAGAATTGGACATCCTCTCAAATTGCACTAGTACATGTAAAGATTTTTTTTGTTACATTTTTGTAAAAAAAAAATTCTGCTAATGCTTCCAGAGCAGTTTTAGGAAAAAGGTTTATATTTGCATCAAAGAAAACACCAGTACCTCACACATAGGTGGGCTTGTATATGAAAGTGAGATCTGCCGTCAATGTATTACATTTTAAAGATGAAGTTATATGAGAGAATGCATGTCACTGGCATAAACTTTTTACCTCAAAACACTAGCTAAAGAAACAAGTTTTCCTTAATCTAACAAAACTACTGCAGAGGTTTGTTGCTGTAAGATGCCCACCTTTATTAAATGGTAGGTTTTGACACCTAATCTAAGTTACACAATGCACCAGGAAATACCTGGAAGCAATGCTGGCTCTTTTTCACAAACAGGACTGCTTCCTCCTCAGAAGAGAAGTTCTGCTCTTATTACAGCAAACTGACCTACTGTTAAACCCCACCTTCCTGAACAAGTGGAACTACAGAAATATAACCATATTGAAAGAGGTGTGGCTCCTTTTTTAAAAAAAAAAAATGTTTGACAATTCCCATATCTATATGCTCAGCACTTGAAAGAATGCAAGAGCTAGTTTTGCAATTAAAAAATTGGTGTGTTATCCTTTCGTAGGAGGATTCTCCCCTTTCCTCCCTGAAGGCATCCTGATTTTCTCACACTTTATCTCAGTATCAACATAGCTATTTAACTCCTGTGCTTTGTAGAGAACAGGATTCACATAAAAAAAAAATCTACACATCCCTTCGAGTCACCAAAAATGGACTACATAACACTAGTTTTACTATTTAAATAGTTTTAGTCTTGCTTTGCATTTGTGCTGTTGTTTGTTAATGAATATTTACATTAGTAAAATCAACTTTTACAGTAAAATGAGTACCTTCCATTAATCATTGCTTATATTAATGTAGATAAATTGCAGCTTTTATATTCACACTAATATACTCACTAAAAACACTGTATATATGCTTATTAATTCGACATAGCCACAGACAAGAAAGCAATTTTTAGAGAAACTGGAATAAAATTAAACTGCAAGAAATTATTAGTAGACTTTAACAGAACTACTTCAGATATGCTGGATAAATAAATAAAGGGTTTGTGTTCAAAACTTCTGAAGTGAGGATGCATTACCCACATGAAGGTCACAAAAGTGATGATTTCACCCTTAAGAGTTCATGGCTTCAAGATTTCCACCTATCACACCCCATTTTTATTAATAGATTGAAACAAACATTAACTTACGTTATTCCACACATCTAAAAGCTTCTGAATTTTCAGTGATTTATGTAAATAAAGCAAATACAAAACACTGTGTCTCACAACAGCTGATTTTAGCACTGGAAGATTCCTGGTACTGGATGCTAATGCCACTAACTCAAAATGGCAGTGGCCCAACTTCAGACCTGTGAATGTTCACAAATTTTACACACCATGTTTACTACTTATAGTTCTCCAATTTATTTTTATTTTAAAAAAGCTTTTTCAAATTTATCCTCACACTTACTACCACATCAATGAAAGATAAGCAAGCTTCAAAAATCTCCTGCTAAAATGTGAATCTAAGGAATGAGACTGGGTTCAACACCAGTTTCAATATGTAGTCTTGAACATTGAAATCATAATCCTTCCAGCAACTGGCTCTTCTCTTTCCTTGATTTTCAAGCTTCTTTACCTGAACTATAACTCTGCTTTGCCATGATTCCAATTCATGCCCTTTCTCTATTCTCAATTATGCTAAAAACTGCAAGTTTTAAATCTGATTATGCTAGAGCTAAATACAGCCATCTTAAATTGACTACTAGATAGCAACAGGAAGGCATAGCCACTACAACAGAATTGCTTACTGCCTTTCCAACACTTAAATGTACTGACTATACACAAAGTAAGACACTAATCAAAGACCTTTCAGAGCTCACATTACTGCATCA